GGCATCGTTTATATAAAAGATGACATATCAGCTAATATAAAAGAAATAATTCTAGATGACTCTTCTTGCCTACAAATTGAGACTACCAATTACACCGTATTAACAATATATAGGTCACCATCGAATGTTAATGTTGATAGATTTGTTTGCTCCCTAAAAACTCAACTTGAATTAATCTAATCCCATAGATGCATTATAATAGCTGGCGACATAAATATAAACTTAATTCAATATTTAAATGAACATAGCTCTATGCGCAATAATAGACTTCCATATCTTGAAATGCTAAGTAATCACAGTATCATGATGGGTCATTGTCTACCAACGCGGGATGGTAGTTGTCTAGACCACATAATGCTTAAACTGGATAGACGAATTCTGACTGCTGAAATTGCTATTCTAGACACTACCATAACTGATCATTCTATGACTTTTTTACATATCTCTAACTTATACACTAAGCATAAAACTCAGAGTCAAATTGGTCACTGACTATGACATGGCAATCACGAGTATAGTAGACAAAAATATCGTCGGCCAATAATAAAAAAATACGAGTATAGTATAGTAGACAAAAATATCGGCGAGCCAAAACAAGTGCCTTTTATACAGACCGATGACGCAACCGCTTTTTACTTAAGGAGCGAGCGACTGCGTCCTGCGATAAAACATGCGACCAATCACCGCCGGACTTACGCAGCCGTTTGTAAAATTAAAAACAAACCGCCGCGCAACGCCCACCCTCTAACCACGCAACCAATCGCCGATCACCGTGAGGGTGACAAACGACCATATTACGAGACTTCCTATTATTAGAGAGCAGGCTTAAAGATATTTAAGAGGGGTAAGTTAGTAACATTTGTTTGTTCATTCAGCAATGCAACGGTACTATTGTTACTTTTTAATATCTCTAACTGTTCCAGCACACACAGCCGCAGCCCTTTATTACACGTATGTAAGACTTTAAAGGAGTGGTCGTTGCCTAGGTTGTGTCCAGTGTACAAAAGATGTTTGGCAAAATGGGATTTATCGAGATTGCAATTCCTGTACGCGGCTAAATGCTCTTTATAACGTGACTCGAAATTGCGACCAGTCTGACCCACGTAAACGGCGTGGCATTCGTCACAAACAAGTTTGTAAACACCTGACTTTTGACGAATATCCAACTCATCTTTATTATTACAGATATTTCTAAGAGAATTGTTTGTTTTGAACGCCACATAAACGCCGTTTTGTCGAAGAGTATTAGCTACTTTTTCAGATATGGGGCCTAAGTAGGTCAAACTGCTCACATATCGATGAACACTTTGAGGTTGAACCGCGTACAGAGAGTTGCGAATAACATGCTTTTGTTTCTTTTTAATTAAATTGTTAATGAGATTTTTTGAAAAACCGTTAGAGACCGCTATTTGATAAATTATATTAAGTTCTTTTAAATAATTTTCTTTACTTAATGGGACAGTGAACAAACAGTTAATGTAACAATAAAAAGCGACTACTTTATGTTGTCACGGATGACACGATGACGCGGGGATGACCGTGTCGGTGTGAGTTGGCTTTCGATAAATTTGGAAAACATGTGACGATTCTTTTCTTGTTATTGTTAAGTCGAGGAAATTAAGGGAACAATCTTGTTCCAATTCAAGTTTAAATTTAATTTTGTCATGGACTCTATTTATTTTATCGAGGAAAATTTCCAGTTGTCTCCTTGTGCCAGTCCAGCAAATAATTATGTCGTCTACATATCTAGTAAATATGTATGAAAATTTGTTCTAACTACTATACCTCGGTATTTAAGTTTCTTAAAATTTTGCTATTTTCTACGTTTATTGTTGCAGATTTTGGCTGATACGGCAGTTTTGGAGCAAGGTGGACCAGACAGGAGCAAAAGCGGAAGATATTTGTAAGATTTTAATATAGACGAAAAATTTTGATATATTACGTTTCTCAAAAACAATAATTTTTTAATTTAAATTAGAAATATCGCCGGAAATGGCTTGAAAACACTGTAAACTAATAAAACTAGACTAATTAAATATTTCAGGACAACCAGGGAGTTTTACAATGTTTTAATGCAAAGTTATAAGGTAAATATGTATGAAAATTTGTTCTAACTACTATACCTTGGTATTTAACTTTCTTAAAATTTTGCTATTTTCTACGTTTATTGTTGCAGATTTTGGCTGATACGGCGGTTTTGGAGCAAGGTGGACCAGACAGGACATAACCCGTCCTAGCCCCCGCGAGGCGGGTATGCGTAGGCATTTCCCCATGTAAAAAGAAAGGTTAGGTTAGGCTTTTTTTTTGTTTCTTTACCCATGAGGAATTGCTATCGGTATACAATTCCTTATGGTTTTTGAGCTTTTGTTTGAATGAGAATTTATATTTGGTCCACATTTTGCTATGTTTATCGTTAACATTTACATTTGAGATCTTTTGACAATGGTTCGCATAATATTTTTGAATAATGAATTTTGTTTATGATTTTCTTGAGACAAGTAGAAAAGTAATTTGATTAATCTTAATTTTTTTTTATGTATATATATTTCTATTATAGACTACATATATAATATTAATAAAACAAAAATAACAATTTACATACAATGATTATCTTATTTATTAAATATTTTAAAATTCTCTAAATTTTAACTTACTATAGCTGTATTATTGTTGAAGTTTTTTAATTTACTTATAATATAATTGACATGGGCCTTAAAAGTTTGTATTGTAGTTTCTTTGGAAATTATTTGTGATAAATTATATGGTTCTATCCTTAAGACAGTGCACGCAACCTCGTGTTCCATTCTTGTTTTAATAAATACAGGGCACTTTTTTATGAGATGTGTCATGGATTGTACACTTGTTTGATCGCATGGACATTTATTATCATTTGTTATTTTAAAACGATGTAAATATTCCTTATGATATCCATGATTGCTAAAATATTGGGTTATGGCAAAGTTAAGTGTAAGTGCAAAGAGATTTGGTGTATATGCCTTTGTCACTTTCAAGGTAGTAGTCTTCCGTTTCTTTAAGGGCGCGCTGTCGATTAAGGTATTTCACATAGGTTATTGGGAATTTGGCAAATTCATAAGATCGGTGTGAAGCTGCCGCGCTTTTAGCAGCTGCATCCGCTTCTTCATTGCCAGAAATTCCAGTATGACCTTTAATCCAGCAAAAAGTGACTTTTAAATTAAGCGATTCAATCTGATGTATTATCTTATGGATCGATACTACGAGGGAGTTATAACTATTTTCATTAGCAATTTCTTGAAGTCCTGATTTACTGTCGGAAAATATGTGTGTGGGATTGATTTTGTGTTCCATAATCCATTCGCAGGCTTTTGAAATGGCGAGGAGTTCGGCTTGAAAGACTGAACACGAGTCATGTAATTTATATTTACGTGTTAGTTTTTCGCCGGTCAGTTTGTGTATCACAAATGCGGCGCCTATTTTATTGTTGTGCTTGCTACCATCGGTGTAAATTCGGTAAACATTTTTAATATCATTTGTTGGTGTTAGTTTTTCAGTAAATTTAATAGGTTTTCGCAACGACGGGTGTAATATATTTTCTGGTTTAGCGGGAACGTCTTGGGTGATATCAGAAGGTAGGTACTGTGATACATGTGTGATTCTTGTGCGTTCATTGTCTGCCATTTCCTGTATTTTTATTGGGAGTGGGCATAATTGGGCAAGTGATATGGAAGCTACTGTACTCACGGTTCTAAAGCCACGGATAATTCTAAGAGCAAAGTTTCGTTGCAAAGAGAGTAGTTTCTCTTTCACACACTTGTACCCGATTGCAGATTGCCAGATAGAGGCAGCATAACAGACTATTGGCTCAATCACATGTCTATAAATAATTTCTATATTTTCGCAATGAATGCCCCAAGTGGGCTTGACGAATATTATTAACTTAGTGTATAGTTTACGGACTTTGTTGACTATGTAATCTACATGTTTGATGAATTTTAGCTGTTTGTCTATTAAAACACCTAGAAGCTTAATCTCGTTGGAAAACATCACCTGATGACCAGACATATATAGTTTGCATTTTGCAGCCTTGCAAGTGAATGCGATGGCCTGTGTCTTGGCAACTCCAAAAGTAAGTTTCATCTCGCGACCTCATTCAGTTACTATATTTAAAGCATTATTTGCGTTAAGCTGTAAATCATTACTATATTTGGCGTGTACAAGGAGGACTATATCATCCGCAAATGCTTGTATCGTAACACCAGGTGGCATGTCTATGTCAAGAAATTCATCCACAATTAAATTCCAAAGAAAGGGGCCACAGACCGAACCCTGGACGCAACCTCTCGTCAGAGTTTTACTAACCGTGCTATCTCCAAAATGGATAATTGCAGATCGATTTTGAAAGTAGCTACGCAGGATAGAATAAATATTACGGGGGCATTTAATTTTATGTAGTCGGCGGTATATTGCCGGCCACCAGGCGCAATCAAAGGCAGCTTGGATATCTAATGAAACTGCGAGTACCTGATCTTTATTGGCTATGGCATGGTTGATTGTGTCTATTATATTGGTTAATGCATTGACGGTAGAGGTTTGTTCTTTAAAACCTAACTGTGCTGAATTAAAAAGATCGTTCTCGTGCATGAAGTACGTTAATCTTCGTATAACAAGTTTTTCAAACAGTTTTCCAAAAATATTAATCAGACCTATGGGTCGGAAGGAAGAGATATTTAGGTAGTCATCCTTGTGAGGCTTAGGGAGAATTTTAATGAAAGCTTTCTTCCAAATTGCTGGAAAATATCCGAGTTTGAAACAACGGTTAATTACTGAAGTGGTCAGATCTGGGAAGCTTTTGACAAATAATAAGCAAATATCAGAAGTAAGATGGTCCATGCCGGGTGCTTTTTTCGGATTCATACTATTTAAGCTACTGAGAATTTCTTCGTAGGTAAAAGGGGGTTCATCTGGAGTATTTGGTGAGATAATTGCTAGGTTTCGGGCATTTTATTGAATTGTTGTATCATTTAGGTCATCATCGGGTAAAATTTATCAAGAAGAGCTTGAGCAGTTTCCAGACTGGTGGTGGTGTATGAACCATCGCTTGTCTTTAGTGTTGCTGGTGGTAGCGCAGGTGGGCTTGACTTAATAATTCTGTTTGTAACGAACCATACATCCTCCTTCCCTTGCCTTTCACAAAAGTCTCTTAAGTTTTGCGTGGAAGTTTCACGGAAGGTTTTTGAGTAAGCAGTTTTTAAGCGTTCTTTTTCCAATAGGGCATCTTCAAGTGGTTTATTTTGTCGGCGCAGTTTTTGTATGTTATGATGGTTACGTATAACTTGTTTTTTGAGACATTCAAGTTCATCTGTCCACCAAGGGCAACGGTATTTTCGACCAGTTGACCTTGGGAGTAGCTCATCACATGTTTTTTGAATTGCCGATGTAACTGAGATTATGTAATTTTCAAGTTCATTTGGCTGCATCTGTTCAACCATAACATTTTGTGGTACATGTTCCTTAATTTTGGCTTCAAAGGAAGGCCTTAGTTCTTCCCATTTTATATTATTCGTATTGTATCTGAACGTACTGGTTGTTTTGTTGGTTTTTCTCCTATCACCATGAGTAGTGACAGAGAACATCACCGCCCTGTGTTCAGAAGACAAACAGATTGAAGGATCCACTTTCCAATCTGTAATCCGGTCATATATAGAGCTAGAAGCAAGTGTAAGATCAATATAACAGCTGCGCACTCGCCCATAAGATACTGTCTCGAAAGTAGGAGTATGACCTCTATAACACAAAAACATGTCATTGCCATAAACGATGTCAAGAACTTCATTTCCCCGCGAGTTTGCCCGGTCGCTACCCCAGATAGGGTGCCAACCGTTAAAATCGTCTCCAACAAGCTGATGGCAGTTACTGCTCATTTTTAAAAAGTTGTCTAACCGTTGCAATGTATTGTAATCGTCACTATTAGGTTCGATATAAACAGATGCTATGTATAGTTTACAGCCCCCAATATTTAATTGAACCGCGCTAAGGTTAGCTGCCCTGTCGTGGCGGTCAAGAATATCCACTACCCCATATCCTCCCGTGGGTGTCGTAAAAGGCGACAAAGGGAAACAGGCAGGAGATGGGCAGCAGCATCTTCCTGATAATAGCCAAAATTACAATAAAAAAACTGCGGTTGCCAACCATCTCGCCAAGCATGGCAACTATAGCAAATACCCCCCTATGAATGTAACAAAGAGACGGCCCCCAGTCCCCGGCGGCCCCGCTATTCCTGGCTACGGTGGCGACCATGGTAACGGCGGGGCAGGGGGTGCTAAGAATCTCCGGTGGAGGTTCGGTTGCCACCTTAGACGACTCGACCTGGCAACGTACAACGCACGCACCCTGAGGACTGACGAGAAGATCGTGGAGCTGGAAGAAGAGATAGAAAAGTTGCGCTGGCATATTATAGGATTATCCGAAGTCCGAAGAGAGGGGGAGGACACGGTAATCCTCGAATCCGGCAACTTGCTCTATCACCGGGAGGGCGACCATCTGTCCCAAGGAGGTGTCGGATTTATCGTCCACAAGTCTCTCGTTAACAACGTTGTAAAGATCGGGAGCGTGTCGACGAGGGTTGCGTACCTTATACTCAGAATCACCAAACGGTATTCGCTGACGGTCATACAGGTTTACGCACCAACCTCTGCACACCCCGATGAGGAGGTGGAGGAAATGTATGAGGATATCTCTAGAGCCATGCAATCCTCCAAACCCCAATATACGGTGTTAATGGGAGACTTCAATGCAAAACTAGGCACAAGAGAGAACGGTGAGCTGAAAGTAGGGAAATTTGGAATAAGGCAACGGAACCCAAGGGGCCAGCAGCTGGCCGAATTCATGGAGAAAGAGGGACTCTTTATGATGAACTCTTTCTTCCAGAAGCGGCCCCACAGGAAGTGGACCTGGTCGAGCCCCGACGGTTCGACAAAAAATGAGATTGACTTCATTATGACGACCAGACGACAACTGTTCAGTGATGTCTCCGTGATCGCGAGGGTGAAAACTGGTAGCGATCACCGAATGGTTAGAGGCACACTGAACCTAAACGTTAAGTTGGAGAGGTCTCGCCTAATGAAGTCAACGCTCCGTCCCCCTCGTGCTCTGTTTCAAAGTCCCGAAACCTTTCAGCTCGAGTTACAAAACCGTTTTCAGTGCCTAGAAGACTGCAATGAAGTGGACGATATGAATAACAAGCTCTCGGAAACTGTCCATGCGGTCGGAGCTAAGTTCTGCAAGACCCGCCGCAGAAGAACACAAAAACTCTCCGATCACACTCTTAATCTCATGGCTGTTAGACGGGAGTTGAAGCTACATTCTTCAACAGACTTGACAGCATACAGGCATCTGAACAGACAGATCTTCAAATGCATGCGGCGGGACTTACGCAACTTCAATACAGCTCGTATTGAAGAAGCGATCGAGCGGAACCAAGGCTCCAAAGTCTTTGCCAGAGATCTGTCTGCCAGAAAGAGCCACCTGTCAAAGCTGAAGACCGAGTGTAGCAGAATCGTTTCCGAGGCACCTGGGATTTTGAGTGAGAGTGAGAGGTTCTATGGGCAGCTGTACACGTCATCGTTGGAGCCACACGCAAGTGTGAGTTACGATCCAAGAGCGAGTCTCATCCGATACTATTCCGAAGATATCCCGGACGTCAGTCTGAGCGAGATTAAAATGGCTCTCCAGCACCTTAAAAACGGTAAGGCCCCAGGCGAGGATCGAATTACAGCAGAGCTTCTGAAAGCGGTTGGAAGAACGGTACTTGAAGTCCTTCAGAAGCTCTTTAATTCCGTCCTCCATGGTGGCATTACACCGGAGGCGTGGAGCAGAAGTGCGATGGTCTTGTTCTTCAAGAAAGGTGACAACGCTCTCTTGAAGAACTACAGACCGATTTCCCTTCTGAGCCGCGTCTACGTGCTGTTTTCGAGAGTCATTACGAATCGTCTCGCGCGCAGACTTGACGACTTCCAGCCTCCCGAACAAGCCGGTTTCCGAAAGGGCTTTTGCACCATAGACCACATACATACCCTTCGGCAAATTGTACAGAAGTCCGAAGAGTACAATTTGAGAAAGCCTTTGATTACGTCGAAATTTGGGCGGTGCTGCAGTCCCTTCAGCGGTGCCAAGTTGACTGTCGGTATATCGAAATGTTGAAGTGCTTGTACAGTAGGGCTACAATGGCTATCCGAGTACAGAACCAGAGTACGAAACCTATCCAATTGCAGAGAGGTGTAAGACAGGGTGACGTCATATCCCCGAAACTCTACACCGCTGCATTGGAAGACGTTTTCAAGCTTCTGGACTGGAAAGGATACGGTATCAACATCAATGGCGACGACATCACTCACCTTCGATTTGCCGACGATATAGTCCTTATGGCAGAATCGCTGGAGGACCTAAGCACTATGCTCAATGACCTCAATAGTGCTTCCCAACGGATAGGTCTTAAGATGAACATGGACAAAACAAAGATCATGTTCAATGTCCATGTCACACCTATGCCGTTAGTTGTTGGGAGCACTAAGCTCGAAGTTGTTGACGAGTATGTTTACCTGGGACAAATAGTCCGACTAGGTAAGTCCAACTTCGACCGAGAGGTCAATCGACGGATTCAACTCGGCTGGGCAGCGTTCGGGAAGCTACGACACATCTTCTCGTCAGACATACCTCAAAACCTGAAAACGAAATTGTACAACCAGTGCGTGTTGCCAGTGATGACTTATGGAACTGAGACGTGGTCCTTCACTGCTGGCCGTATGAGGAAGCTCAAGGTCGCTCAGCGAGCTATGGAGAGGGCTATGCTCGGAGTTTCTCTGCGTGATAAACTTAGGAATGAGGATATCCGCAGTAGAACCAGAGTAACCGACATAGCCCAACGGATTAGTAAGCTGAAGTGGCAGTGGGCCGGCCATATAGCTCGAAGAACCGACCACCGATGGGGAAGAAAGGTTCTCGAGTGGCAGCCTCGTACCGGTAGGCGAAGTGTAGGGCGTCCCCCCCACGAGATGGAGTGACGACCTGGTAAGACATGCAGGAAGTCGATGGATGCAGGTGGCTCAGGACCGTGCTTTGTGGCATTCTTTGGGGGTGGCCTATGTTCAGCAGTGGACTTGTGAAGGGCTGTAATGATGATGATGAAGGTTAGCTGACGAAAATTGGGATAGACCCAGTACGGAACCAAAACTACATTTTGTCATTATGCACGCCTTAACCCTGTTACCATTGGAAAACTGAAATATGTTGATACCAGGGATGGATTTAACAATATTGCCAGATCCAACATAGGGTTCTGACACCAAAGCTATCTGGAATTGGCCGGCCATAGAAACAGAAACAGAAACAGAAACTTTTTTATTCAATATAGATTATAAATAATACTTATTGAAAGTCACTCTTTTGTTTGATTACCACTGGTTCGGAAAAAACTTCTGTCCTGGGAAGAACCAGCAAGAAACCCAGCGGGACTTTTTTTTTAAATAACAGCTTACAATCATGATGTTACACAAATTAACAACACAACAAATTAGAAATAGCTTGGTAGCGATCACCTCATTTCCAGGGGTTATTATCATCCATAAATTCCTTAATATTATAATAACCCTTTTTATACAAACTTAGTTTAATAAAGTTTTTGAACTTTGAACAGGTCAAACTTTGTATATTTTCTGGAATTTTGTTGTAAAAGCGTATACATCGCCCCAAGAATGAATTACTGACTCGATGGAGTCGAGTAACTGGTACTACTAGCTTGTGTCTGTTCCTAGTATTTACAGAATGAATATCACTTATTTTTGTAAAACTACTTTTATTTTTGTGTACGTACATTACATTTTCATAAATGTATTGAGAGGCCAAAGTTAATATATTAATTTCCTTAAATTTTTGTCGCAGCGACTCTTTAGGCTTTAAATCATAAATTGCTCTTATGGCCCTCTTCTGCAAAACAAATATAATTTCAGTGTCAGCTGCGTGTCCCCATAGCAAAATACCATACGACATTATGCTATGGAAGTAGCTGAAGTAAACTAGTCTAGCTGTTTCAACACTGGTTAGACTTCTAATCTTTTTTACAGCATATGCTGCAGAACCAAGTCTGCTTGCTAGTTTTAATATATGGGGGCTCCATTGAAGCTTCGCGTCTAGTGTGATTCCAAGAAAAATGGTGGTATCTACAAGACTCAGTTTCTCCCCATTTAAAATTACATTAGTATTTAATTGTTTGACATTTGGAGTCACGAATTTCATACATTTTGTTTTAGTGCCATTTAAATGCAAATTATTAACATCGAACCAATTTACTAATTTAGATATAGCATTATTTACTTCGTCATATTTTAGTAACTGTCGACTTAATTTGAAAATTAAAGAAGTGTCATCTGCAAATAATACTATATCATGGTTATCCCCTACTATGTAAGGTAAGTCATTAATGTATACAAGAAACAGAAAGGGGCCGAGAATTGAGCCTTGAGGCACGCCCATTTGTACCATCGATCCGGAAGAGCTCATATTGTTAATGACAACTTTTTGCGTTCTCTTACTTAAATATGAAATAATTAATTTAAGGGCATCACTTCTTACACCGTAGTGTTGAAGTTTCCTGATTAATGTTTCATGGTGAACACAATCGAAGGCCTTGGATAGGTCACAAAATATACCCAAAGCATCCTGTGAATTCTCCCATGCATTAAAGATATATTTAATCAGCTCAACACCGGCATCAGTTGCCGAGCGACCCCTTGTGAAACCAAAAAAGAAAAAAGAGAGAATAAATTCATGTTGACTGTTCTTTGACTTATCTAAGTTACACTGTAATACTTCGAGTTTATTGACTTGATCCATAATCTATACGGTTTATGATTCTTTCTTTTATGGC